CTGAAACAAGAGAGAAAACACGTACATTTTACCCTCTAGTATTATGCAACGTAGCTTGTACATAACATAATGAAGAGTTATGAAACGTAGGTAAATACATAACATAATGAAGAGACATACAACGTAGCAAGTGAAGAGAGCAAGGAATAGCACTAAGACTAAGAAAAACAGAGGAAAAAAATAAAAACAAAATCTTGCCAATAAATTACAATAAAACTAGGTAGGATTATTGACATGGGAGAGCGCTAAACCCTTAGGTATTTTTATAGCGCGTGTGGGGGGAGGGGGATGGAAGGCATTCAGTCTCAATTCAAAGAACTCGGGCACAGATCCAATTTCCTAGATCAAGAGCCCCTCACCAGCGTTAAGGAACCTCCCTTGAGGGGAGGTAAGATGCTCAATTAATGGTTTAAGTCAAAACAGAAAATGGTTATAACAATAACATCAGGACATTATATTCGTGGGGAACCGCTAAACCTGCAAGGGTCACAGAGATCCTATAACAGTGTCTAACAGCAGTCCAGAGTTCTTTCTAGTCTCTTCCCTGGGATGCGACCCACTAGTCTGCTAACTGTTAAGTGCCTACTAACCGCTAGGTAAACAGAGGCAGCCGGTGTCTACCTGGAGGGTATTCCGGAGATCAACGCCCCCGTGGCCCGGTCCAGGACCAGGTCTCCCGGTGGATCAGGGCCTGATCAACGAGGCTGTTAGTGCTGGCCGCACGTAGTCCAACGTACGAACCACAGCCCAGATGATCCGGTACTGATTTCAGGTATCTGTTCAGTTCCCTCCCGAAGACAACCAGGGGTCTATTGGTAATTCCCCTTATGGCTGGTGGGAGGCTGTTGAACAGTCTTGGGCCCCGGACACTTACTGTGTTTTCTCTTAGTGTACTAATAGCGCCCCTGCAGTCTTTTGCTTTCGTAGAGTGATTTGTGTGTGCAGATTAGAGCCCAGTCCCTCTAGGATATTCCAGGTGAAAATTATGATGTATCTCTCGCCTGAGCTCTAGTGAGTACAAGTCAAGAGCTTCCAACCGTTCCCAGTAGTTAAGGTGTAAAGAGACTTGCCCACATGTGTCTAGCCTCGCTCAGGGGATCGAGATCGGTTCCTTTTAATTGTAAACCACACAAGCTCTACTGGAGTGATGAGTTTCCAACACGCTGCTGTCAAGTGCTTCAATTTTTAATACAAATTCGAGACTATCCCTACGTAGAGTCAAAGCCAGCAAAGTTGAAAATAGAGGAAAACTGTTTTTATTTAACAAAATTGGGTACATCAGCAGAGTGCTGCTGCCCTATTCTATATGATAGATACACAGTGTAAAGAAAGATGCGTTTCCCTGTCATATTCCACTACGCAGGATGGTGCTCATACACGGTACTGAAATCTGTCAGCCTGAGCTGAGGGAAGACGTCCGGGGTGGTGGTCGGGGGAGGAAAGTGATTTATGGTAATGGACCTAAGTTACCCTGGACATTTATACAGCCTTGTGGCGGGAAGGGCGGGCCTCCGGAGGTTCTCTTGTCAGCACTTGACAGTACACTCTCCGGGGATTTACACCAGGCATGGATTACTTAAACTTCTTCCCCATCGCAGGTAAACACGAAAATTTCTGATAAGCCAATCTCGAATTTTGCATCAAAACTAGCTTAGCAACATTATCTAACCACATTAAATTGACCTAATAGAAAATAACTTGCTTATCTAAGAATTTAGGTTGGGAAAGGGAGAAGGGGTGTGAATCTTCTGGTAACCCCCACCTGTAATTACCTGGAGGTTACCTGAAGTCGCTTCCGGAGATCACCGACCCCGCGGCCCGGTCCCAGACTAGTTCAAATCAATCATGGTGTTAAGAGCCCGCCGAGCAACGTATGCACCACAGTCTAGTTGATCAGGAGCTGATTTGAGGAACTCTTGAAGACAATCAGGGATGTTTATTTTTTTTTTTTTTTTTTTGGTAATTTCCCTTATGCATGAACGGAAGGTGTCGAGTCGTGGGTGTACTCATCGTTCTCCTGCTTTTCACCGGAGGTAACCTGCAACGCTTGCCAGGCCTCCCGTGTTCATATGTAGTTGTATTCGGTGTGTAGGTTCGGGACGAATCCTTCCAGGTGTAGATTATGATGTATCTTTCTCGCTTGCATACTAAGTACTAAAATTGAGGGACTTCAGGTGCTTCCAGTAATTTAGGTGGCTGTGTTTATACGAATTTTTAAGGTTCTCGGTAGATTTTCTAATTCTGCCTACCTAGAAGAGGGCCGAAGAGTATCACTGGCTCTTCATCTCTTATTTTGAAAATTATAGTTATCCAACCTATCATTTGTTTTGCAGTTGCAATAACAACATTGTTGTGCCTTTGAACGTGAGATTTTTTGACACTCCCAGGTCTCTCACGTTAGACCTGGGAGTGATAATGTCAGATCTCAGGTTCAAGGAGATCTCACATTCAATGCGATCTGAAAAGCACTTTGAATTACAAGATCATTCAGCAACTGTAGCAATAAAACGTGAATATAAACACATACAGAGCACTCAGGGTAAAACCGTCCAAGAAAATTCAAAACTATCAGTACGAACAAAAACACTGCACAAATATATACGACCAATCTAAGCTAAAATAACCCACATAATTCAAGCTCATTAAACTGCCAACGCTGAGAGACTCCTAAATTTTAGACGATGTTCCCACAAGCTTCCCGGTAATTTTAAGAATGACTGAGAAATAGGCAGAAGCGTTGGGCAAACCATTAAAATGTACAGCAGAGTCAGCAGTACACCACCTAACACCCAGCGAGGGAAAGCAGCGCCTGCAAGTTGGCGGCTATGGATGATGTGTGCGCCGGATCCTTTATCCACAGAGAATTCTCTCTCAGTACGGTTTATGTTGAAGGAGATTAGATTTTGCTACGGAAGTGGCTAATTAACTGTGTGCTTCATGTCCATCACGAGAACAGCAGAGTAAGAAAATATTCAAGCAAATGTGTTCAAGACAGTGGCCATAAAGTTGGCCACATACTTAGCACTGTGCTATGCACTTGCTACGTTCATACATCTTCAGTGGGTTAAACTCCGTATATGTTAAACTGCTTGATGCACATAAAGTCTAATCCAGGCAAAATGCTCCGAAAATGTACTGATCTACATTCATTTTACCATGGTTACCTATCTACTCAAGCTTCTAAGAATATTCCTGTGACATTCAGATCAGTTATTTCCCTTTAACATTATTTCTAATTATTGATACAGACACAACAAAGTTATATTAAACTTCTTTCTTCAAGATGCTTACTAATGTATCAGCTTCATCGTGTAGGAGCAATTTATTGTGATGAAATTCATAAATACTGTATACTAATTTCTCTGATTTTAAGATCCATACTTGGCTTCTCCGATTAGCATATTGTTAAGAGTCATTAAACGAACCAAGTGTTTTCAGTGAAGACTTAGCATCAATATCGATGAAGGAGAGAAGGACCAAATACCCACGTTCTGTTACACTGCAGGTGTCTAGGAAATACAGTGCCCGCTGCTTCGTAAGGACATAGTTACTGCATGTATGTGGCACCCTAAGTCACCGTGAGGTACAACTGTGGTACAGGGCGAGCTAGAAACAGCAGCCTTTGCCTCAGCCTCATGTGTGTTTCCCTGGACTCCAACAAGTCTCAGGTACCAACAGAACTCCACGTTCTTGTGCCGAGCTTGGCTACTGGCTAGCCACTCCTAGATCTCCTGGACCACAAGACAGAAGTATGCTGAGCCATTTTCAACAAGGTTACCTGGAGGTTATTCCGGGGATCAACGCCCCCCGCGGCCCGGTCCATGACCAGGCCTCCCGATGGATCAGGGCCTGATCAACTAGGCTGTTACTGCTGGCCGCACACAGTCCAACGTACGAGCCACAGCCCGGCTGATCCGGCACTGACTATGTATCTGTCCAGCTCTCTCTTGAAGGCAGCCAGGGGTTTATTGGCAATTCCCCTAATGCTTGATGGGAGGCTGTTAAACAGTTTTGGGCCCCGGACACTTATGGTGTTTTCCCTTAGTGTACCAATGGCGCCCCTACTTTTCATTGGGGGCATTTTGCATCGCCTGCCCAGTCTTTTACTTTCGTAGGGAGTGATTTCTGTGTGCAGATTTGGGACCATTCCTTCCAAGATTTTCCAAGTGTAGATTATGATATATCTCTCCCTCCTGCGTTCCAACGAGTACAAGTCAAGTGCTTCCAAGCGTTCCCAGTAGTTAAGGTGCTTGACAGAACTTACACGTGCAGTAAAGGATCTCTGTACACTCTCTAGATCTGCGATTTCACCTGCTTTGAATGGAGATGTTAATGTACAGCAGTATTCCAGCCTGGAGAGAACAAGTGATTTGAAAAGGATCATCATGGGCTTGGCATCTCTCGTTTTGAAAGTTCTCATTATCCATCCTATCATTTTCTTTGCACGTGCGATCGTGGCACTGTTGTGATCCTTGAAAGTGAGATCCTCAGACATTACTACTCCCAGGTCCCTTACATTAGTTTTCCGCTCTATTGTATGGCCGGAGTCAGTAGTATACTCTGTTCTAGTTATTATCTCCTCCAGTTTTCCATAACGGAGTAGTTGGAATTTGTCCTCATTGAACATCATATTGTTTACCGTTGCCCATTGGAAAACTTTGTTTATATCTTCTTGGAGATTAACCGCGTCCTCAGCAGATGACAGCCTCATGCAGATCCTAGTATCATCCGCAAAGGATGATACGGTGCTGTGGCATATATCTCTGTTTATGTCTGATATGAGGATAAGGAATAAGATGGGGGCAAGTACTGTGCCTTGTGGAACAGAGCTCTTCACTATGGCAGCCTCCGATTTAACTCTGTTGACCACTACTCTTTGTGTTCGATTTGTTAGGAAGTTGAAGATCCATCTCCCCACTTTCCCAGTTATTCCTTTAGCACGTATTTTATGGGCTATTACGCCATGATCGCATTTGTCAAATGCTTTTGCAAAGTCTGTG